ATTAATTTGTGGGTGTTCAGGCGACACGAAAACATGTAACATTCGGGAAAGGGGGCACATAAAATATGGTACAGTCCTAACCGCACCACCCTCATCAGCCGTCCCAATACTAAGTGACAAGCCACTTAAATATGTCGAACTTTGAAATGGTGGATTAATAAGTGGTTGAAGATGCGAATAACTTAATGCAGGAAAACACTCGATTCCGTTAGTTACACAAGCATGGGTTGCAAGAAAGGGTAGCTGAAGAAAAAATTCACGGAAAATTGGTAAATTACATACAGTCTACCCTTTTACGACAAGGATAGGTTGTTGAAGACCCATTCTAACCCAGATCTTCACGTGTAGTAACTGAAGGTACGTAACATCCTATGGTGTGACGTGGTCGGGGATCGAACCAGCGACCTCCCTCCCGAGCAAACGCTATATCCATTACACCACCTTTTCTCGCTAAACTTAGTCACACACCACGTCGTGTATGCTTCCCAATAATGCATGCCGTGTTAACCTCGACAAACCCTAAACAGCCAGGGTACAGGTATCGATTTGGATAATCGTGTTTATAAAATACGGGTCACGTCATATAAACGTTTACTTAAACTCCTTTAATCCGGACACCACGCAATGATTAATAGGACAGGTTTCACATAATACTGGGAATTACTAAACAAACTTGCGATGATCAGTGCGAACTGGCATTATTAGTTTGCATTATCTGTATGTTATCGGTCATTACGTGCATTATCGTATTTGTTTGATCCAATAATTCTGAGTTCAAACAATTTCATGCAAAACATAAAATGAATAATAAAATAAGTGATGTTTGGCAAATAGTCGAGCACATTTCAAAATTTGACTGAAATGATGAAAAATATATCCCATGCACTTCTCTGTTTCATACTGCAAAATTCGCATGCACGTGCATTTGTCCGTGACGAGAGCCGCAGGAGTGGCTGGTTATGCTCACCATTTGGGCAACACCTGGTAACCAGTGTGCGAAATAGCCACTGGCCCCCCTAGCCCGTGGCTAGTAAAAATTCAGTCGGGCCACAGTCACGGGTACTACTGGCTAGTGAATTTTCATGGGTTCATTTTGTAAATATATCACTCTCTCCGACTTGTTAAGTTATAACACACTTTTAAATCATGCAAGATTATGGCATGATAAAAATGTTCTTCATATTAGCAGCTTAAAAATGAAACCCGTGTCTACATTCAAATTTCGGGCTTGTGAATTATTTTGTGTGCTTGTAACTTTCAGGCACAGCTAGAGCGACTGGCTAGCAAAATTAAAAACTATTTCGCACACTGCTGGTAACACCTGGTATCTTCATCATACGATGGTGATTCATAAGCACGTGCATATGATATACTCGGGATCGTACAATGGTATCTGCGTTTGGCAGATATCTCTAATGGTTGTCTGCAGGTAAGAGCACACTGGTGTGTCTAAGCCTCCGGAATGTTGGATCCATCTGCCTAGATCCTATTCCCCTAACGGATGGCTTCACCCATTAAAATACTTCACCACTGTAATGCTAGTAATAAGTATCACATTAGCGATCCTCTCTGGAGTTACTTTAGATAGCAATGTAAATGTATCGTGTTAGTCTTAAACTAGCCTTGCTTTAAAGCTGTACTGAATTATAATGCAATGGGCGCATAGTAATTCTATCCATACACTAGGCGAGTCTAGATTAAGGATGATAGACGTTTAAGGAAACGACTTGCAAGAATACGCTCTGAATATAAAGAATAAAAAGATTGAAGTTGTTCTTCATAAAACGTGTCATGTATTCAACTTGTTCAACTTAATACTGATGTGGGGTAGCCTAGTGGTTAAAGCGAAGACCCGTGTTCGATTCCCGACATGGATACAATGTGTGAAGCCCATTTCTGGTGTCCCCCGCCGTGATATTGCTGGAATATTGCTAAAAGCAGCGTAAAACCATACTCACTCACTTACTAATACTGATGTAATCTGGGATTTAAGATTGATAATTAATTCATATTTATTGCACCTTCGGCTTCTGCGAGTCTTGAACATGTAGGTGAACCGAGCTTGCTGCCACTGGGTCGTACAAGGTTCTTCACGGTCCAATACCCCGTAGGTTCTTCCCTAGACTTGCACAAGTTTCTAAGGTAATCATTTATAGTTTAAATGATAATTTCCAAAACAATCTCCCTCTAAGACACGTGTACTGTTCGTTTATCTAGACTTGCCCATTTAAAGGTTAGAATTGCTATACATCCATGGGCTTAGCCTTCAGTACAGTCTTGGAGCAAGGCTACTCCTTGCCCTGCTCGTTGTTGTCACACCGTCGGCATCACTCGGCTGACTTCGGCATCTTTAAATTCATTAGGGAATTTGTTGGCGATACATTTTACAAACTGATTAATTAGATACTTTCATCATGCATTGTCAAATATACGTTATCTCATATAGGTAAACAAGCTTATTCATTCATTGAAAATGTTTAGTTACTATGAATTTCGGGCACGAGATTATCTTGTAAGTGCAGAAATTTCCCCTATTTTTGTGGTCAATTTTGCCACTTTACGAATTGTACATGCTTGGTTGTAAATGTTTATTGATACCTCTGGTAGCTTATGTTTCTGGTGTCTCCCGCCGTGCTGGAATGTTGCTAAAGGCAGGGTAAAACCATACTCACTCACTCACTTAGTTCAGAAAACCCAATTCCAGTTGTTCTCGGGTTCAGTTAAGGGATCCTTACAACAAGCGGAGGCTGCACTTTCCAACGTCGGTCCCTGGGTGTAAACCCTTGGGACTTTCAAGCGTAATCATCGCCAGGCATTTCTGGACCGTAACGGCCCGTACTGCCACAGGGGAAGTTTCCCTACTGAGCAATTAAGGGACAATTTTGATCTTGACTTACTTCTGGTGCTACTGATCAAAACGTAGTGGCTGTAGGGTTATATTGTATCCCCCTTATTTCTAGTAAGTCGTGGGTAACCAATTTATCCAGGATTGCCTCTTTTAGGTCAAGTGGCGTTTTATTGTCGTGGGTGAAGTTACTCTATTGGTCAAGTGTATGTATCATCTATTTCTCGGATTCAGTTGTTCAGTATATACGACTTTATTATGTAACACTAGGGTTTTATTCATTGTCCAACTTTCATAATTTAGGGGCAGGCCTTCAGTGTTCATTTCATCCTAACTAATATAGATAAACCGAGGTTACACCCTCTCGTAGTCTGTCATACAGACACTGAAGCAAATATATCCAAGAAAGCCCACGCAAGTCTAGAAAATGTAGCAAGTCTAGATTTCCACAGCTTCTGAAAATGAAGAAAGTCTCAGGGCTCCTTTTCATTATATATATATATTTTTTTACTAAGAACTTTTTTTCAGTAAAATATGTTCATTTCAGAGACTAGTTGTTAGTCTATCCCTCTCGTTGAGTTAATTAACTCCCGTGTGATAATTTGACACAGCTGTGTTAATTGTCTGTCTATGCATCTAGTGATCTATTGTCTTGTCAAATAGTGGTTTAGCCATCTATGGTAATAGATTTTCCTCGTGTGTTTGAATCCCTGTCAATGTCGTTTCAGTGTATTCTCATTTAATTATACCTTGATCTCTAGAGCACAGTATGGCATAACATGGTAGGGTATATGATATATCATATCATATCATATTGTATGATATGATATTCAACGCCCGGGCAAACATAGCTATTTGAACAAATTACATCAAGGACCACTACTTGTGTTTCTCTTTGACACAGTTTTGCTAATTTTGGGATGCGTGGGCAGTCAGGGGCAAACATTTGCACGCTTTGAATCGGGGCGAACCATGATTTGGACCCACTAACTTTCTTTTATCTTTATTTATTTATTTCCGTACTCAGGAGGCCTCAGGCCTATAGTACAAATACATTGAATAACAATTGATCAGTTAGTAGAATTTTTAAGAATGTAATGTTTTCTGTATGTGGTAGCGTAATAGATATACATACATAATCTTTCTACATTTTACTTTACTAGAATTGGTTAAAAGGGATTTGAATTTATAAATGGATGTACAAAGTAGTAGCTCTTAATATACTTATTTCTCAACAAATAATAGGCTGGACATATACAAAGAAAATGATACTCATCTTCATTACATTCAATTTACGCATTTTACATATCCTATGTTCGTTTGTCACTATCATAGGTTCCTGGTGTGCCGGAAGGGACGCAACTCTGCATTGCGGCGTTTCAGATGACTGGGTACCTTAAACGAGTGAGTAAGGGTTTACGCCGCTTTTAGCAATATTCCAGCAATATCACGACGGGGGACACCAGAAATGGGCTTCACACATTGTATCCATATGGGGAATCGAACCCGGGTCTTCGGCGTGAAGGAGGTTAATTTGTCTTTGTTTACGTTCACATGAGCGCGTTGTTTCATACGGCGCCGTGCCTTCTTCTGTCTGTCGTGTTAGAACTTCAAGAGACGTACGACTTTTGATTGATTTACTACATTCTCTAAAGGAATCATAACGCATTCAGCTGCTTCAAAGCAGTGTCTTTATACACCTACGAATAATCCTAGACGACTCGCTTCACAAAACAAAAGTCTTAAATTTCGCATGAGAGAGGGTTGTTCGTGTCACTAATGCCGGCTAAAGTACTGATGGAAAGATTCTACATTTTCCGGCTGACAAATTAGACGAACAGTATGCAATTCTAGTACCGTAGCCAGTATCAGAGCAATCACATCGTCCCACAAAAGAGCAAAGAAACGTTCGTCACCCTAATTAATTACTTACTCATCAAATTTTAATCCCTCCCATTTCACGGTTCGAAAGTCGACAACCTTCCTGTCGTCTGCTCGATCAATAATATTGTATTCTCTGCGGGATACATGTCACGTGGCTTTCAATATGAAATCGCTCACTCTCATTGGTTGATGAAATTGAAACCACTTTGTTAATGAGTTGTTATAACCCCCAGAGGAGGTGCCGTTAGCTGACATCATATTATTCCTTGTCCGTTTTAGTGTTTGCAGCTTCCAATCTGTTTCGACTGACGATTTAGATATTGCTGCGCGACAGATGGACTTTCGTTGCCGTGACGATATCGGCAGTTAACCGGTCCTCACACCTGGGGAAGGGACAGACTCGGACCCAAGTAAGATTTTTGCATGTATTTGTTCAAATTTGATAAGAAGTCTAATTCACGTACACTCCATCACAAAGTGATAACGTATCAATGAACTTTTTGTTCAAATAAGTACACATTGCAGGATCTGCGGTTTCTGTTGTAATTTATCAAAACTCAATTACTCTTAACGTGTATCATTTCATTAATGATGTCATTTTTACTTTTAATCGCAATAACCAAATATATGTTTTGGTATTTTGGTATTTAAATGTTTCTTATAAGAAATGCATATATAGGCGTGCCGGGAGCCTCCTTTTAAGCCACATATAGGCATTTATATAATTGTAATCAGTTACAATATCCTCTTAGAAATATTTTTTCAAAATATATTTTAAAGAGTTATGTTTTGTAATGATATGTACCTAACAAAGAATAAGTTATACAGCAATATTCCATATGGATAATGTCAACATTGCCATTTAAGATACTAATATGTTCCTTAACCAGATTAAATATCCCGGCGATAGCCGATTGAAATGTTTAACTGGTGTCATTATTATCAAATTTCATGCAAAGCTGAGCCTACCTCTACATATTCTAATAATCATTAAATCAACAAAGAACTTAATCATTAATATTTCTCATATGACACGATAACCTTGCTATTTTTGTTAATATGATACAATTTTTCAAACACGATATAATGTTCAATATCTCGAGAACCCGATACACTGGTGTACTGAACTCCTTAACTGCTTCTGAAAATGCTCATTAAAGCTTAAGGAAGTCCGGCGCTGTCATCCAATTGTATTTTTTTCCAGGTTGGTTTTAGGTGTTGCCCTATTGTGTTAACGTCATATCAATATTTGTTTCACACATTCTATCGGGCACACACGACAGTACAAATTTGTTTACATTCTTAAATATCAAATCCATGGTATGTTGTTTACTCTTTGCATCAGAATTGAACCACTTAGCAGGATAGTTGATCATATTTAGCAAAACTTAAACTTACTGATTCAACAAAAGATCCTAAAACGTATAATGATTTCGATTTTCAAAAGTAATAAATCATTATCTTTAGTGCCCGCATTCCAAATAGCATGGAGTCTGCTGGATTGTAAAAACCAATTGGATACGCTTGTCAGGTAATGCTTTTGAAGAAGATAAACTGTCTGGCATTAGAAGGTATACACTTAAAAATTAAAAATGAACAAAAAGACGTTATTAACATGAAAACAGGAAATGAAAACGCCACACTTAAGGTCCAAAACATAACCACGACACCCTTTTGAAATACATCACCGCCGAATAACGTATCCTTGTTTGTTTCAATTGTAGCCACCATCAAACTCGGGTGTATATTACTTTGCCCTACAGTTTATTTGTACATTGGTCATTAACAAACGTCAAATGTATTTTAGTTTACGTTATTTTAAATTACGTCGACTTCACATCAGATGATGTCATTCAGACTATTTAGTTATGTACCTGTTCTATTTTACGACATGCTCAAATTGCTAGATAAGATTATTCTTCTAAGCATAAAAAAATGATGCAACAATCGCGTATGTGAATCAAGTCATATTTAGACGAGGGGTTCATACTTGAAATACACACCATGTCGCAAGAACAAGCACTTATCTCACCAAGTGACATTGAACACACTATATATGTTTATTACTAGTATTTAGATTCATCGGGTTAAATACCCGTCAATGATTTTGTTTAGTAGCGTTAGTGATAGTTATTTCAGCTGTTGGTGACCACCTCATATCTTCCTTCTCCTGCAACCTCAATGTGTATGTTTGTAGCCATAGCAGATTTCAATGTGATTTAAATACATGCGACAAAACGATATCCATTTTTAGATATGACGTGGTTCTCTGTTGTTTTTTGTTTTATTTACAAACTGCAAATTGCATATGCAAATTTCCCATCCAATGTAAAATGATTCAACTTGCTACTTTAAAGTGATGACTAATATATCATGAACATAAACATCCTAGAGTCTTCAAGAAATATTCAGTCAGGACTTTTCAGTAAGTGAAGTGAGTTTTCTAAGAATTAAACACGTTTTCAGGCCCTCACAACTTCTAAGATAAGTTCCATCGTCAAGTGTTTCAAGCACTAAATCAATAGTTCCAAATATTTTGTGTTCGATTATGAGAAAATGTGTTCGATTGCTTGGTTGTTTGGTCTCTTCGATTATTTCAGTTTATGGGAACACCACTATACGGTTGCGAATATATTACGAGGACGTGTTTGTGAATCACTATCAAACAGTGATGACACCGGGTGTTCGCGAAAAGGTGGACGCATCCTTCCCCAAAGGTGGCACGCATCACAAACACACGCAAAGCCTAGTCACATATGTAAAGTTATGTTACGCTACCGCCATATACTTTACACTTATTAACATCGAAACATGTAACAAATATGACATATAAAATATATGTCCTGGTGGTTTTGGTTAACTATCAACATACTTGTAATTCAAATACAAGTCATATAACGTAATTTTTATTGTAATAAATCAAACCCCAAGCTATAAACTGGACATAATGCTAATGTAACTCGGGAAATGGTGGAATGAATTATTAAAGAATTTCATTTTTTCCTGAGTACCGAAGTCATGTTTTAAATGTTCCTTCTTACTTCCTCGATTGGAAAACGAGATAAATGATAAATATCAGTAAAAGCAATTAGGTTATATTTTAGAAATTCTCTTCATTTCCAGTCACTATAGACTGAAATGTGTTACTTTACATGAATAATTAAGGAAATAACACTGCAGGCTTCGTTTTTTCACAACTGTAGTTAATTTGATTTAATTTTGGCAATTTGTCGATGTGCTGTAAATATGAGTCATTCATAATTCTAATTAACGCTTACCAACATAACGTTACTTAATATTGTAAATGTTTAATCAGTTCAATATTTATACAGCAAAGCGTATTACTCTTGGCAACGTATGTTTGTCTATGAATGTTGCCCTGCACTGGTTTCGATTTTAACGAGGTCTGACTCGAGCAAATTATGTTTGATAGAAAACAGTTTCAAATAATCCAATCCTTTATAATCCAATCCTTTATAATCCTTCGTAAAAAGAAGCCAACCAACATAACTTTTATGATAGAAAACGTGCTTTAAATAGATATAATTAATGATGACAATCACAAAGATGGTACATGTAGTCCACCTGTCAGTTACGTTCTTGAGGCAAACGTTTGATTGGTAAAATGATAAATTCGTGTTTATTTCTGTTTTGGAAACAGAATCAACACATGCGATTTAGTTGTTAACCGCAAGATTCAAATGCTGTTTTATGGCCTTGTATTTAACGCTGTTGAGGTAAACAGTAGAGTGCTAAGTGAGTAGCAAATAGTGTTATTAACAATGGAGCAGTTACAGATCTCCTATGAAATTATACTGCGACAATCGTCTACCAAATGTCTTGTATCACACGAACGCACAAACAGACCTTTTTGGATATGAACACTTCGATATTACATATTACATGAATATTTTTAGTATGTGAGTATGTGATATTAAATGATAGATATACGTGCTAAACGGTTCTGTAGCTTTCAAAATCATAATCATGTTGATATTGAAATTGTTTTAAACGTTTTGAGTGTGTGATATTGAATCAGATTTAGATATACGTGCAAAACGGTTCTATAGCTTTCACAATCATAACCATATACACATGGCAATCGTTTTTGAGTCTGTGATATTAAATCATTTATAGATATACGTGCAAAACGGTAACTTTCATAATAATAATAATCATATTGAAATTGTTTTTGAGTATGTGATATTAAATCATATGTAAATATTCGAACAAAACGGTTCTGTAACTTTTATAATCATAATCATACTCATATTAAAATTGTTTTTGAGTTAGTGATATTAAATCATATGTAAATATTCAATCAAAACAGGACTGTAACTTTCATAATCATAATCATACTTATATTGAAATTGTTTTGGAGTGTGCGATATTTAATCGTACGTAACTATTCGAACAAAATGGTTCTGTAGCTTTCAAAATCATATTCACACTCACGTGATATGTGCATGCAATGGCACCAAAAAAACACCAAGATATTTCAAGAAATTCACATTTGGTCACGTCATTCCATGTATCAGTATACACACTTTGCCTGGCGAACGTGAGACAGATTAAAACGTTTGGGGATATTTCTTACGGTTCTATGCTCATATTAACAAATGCCACATTTTGATCAGTTATTTTTTTCTTGAAACAAATTGCTCGGAAGCATTATGTTAAAACTGTAAAAACTGCACAAGTGTGTTATTAAAACCATCGTGTATTTCTCCCCCTAATAACAATGGTCTGTCAGTGACCCTTAGTTTTGTCTTCACTGGGGGTGGTAGCTAGGGTGGTTGTAGGAGCGAGGGGGGGGGGGGGTAGGAGGCTGCTGGGTTAACCAAGTGAGACATGATATATCATGGAAGAAGGGTACATGTCAGCAATTAATTTTCTCTGACATTTTACTGGCCTTCAGGTCTTGCAGCTTCTGCGCTATTTGATTTCCACATTGGTACAACCCGACTCTTGTGAATTGAACATTGAAGAGCCACTTGGCCTCGAGGATATTAAAACGATTAAAAAACTCGGTGTTCGATTGTGCTGTTGATGAGATGAAACGTGTTTGCAGAGGTTTTAATTTCGTGTCCTTTGTTTGAAACATCTTCTGACAATCTGATGGTGGACAAAATGATATATGACCCGGAACAATTAATTATCTCGGCCTGTATTTTGCCAACCCATCTTGGACTGTTGTGAATCTTTTATACATGATACTTGCCCTACTGACAGTTTATGAAACAAGATATGCAAACTTTGAAAAAACGACTCCTGGCGTTGAAAACATGAAAATCTTGCATTGAACATGAAAGTCGAAATTATACATTGATCCTACTGATGTTACCATCTTCATTCAGTCTATTTTTTCTCCTATATATGACCGACATGACTTTCCAAGTGTAGAGAAAAA